ATTATTTTATTTATGAATTGGTATACTGGCTAATGATCTGTTAATATTATAGCTTGTTTAAATTCACACGATCTATCTGTCATCTATTAAATGAAATATTTTTATTGTAAATTAATTTATTATTATAAATTTTTAAACAATTTTGTTGAGTTTATTATAATTCTTTATCTCTTTATTATATTTCTTAGTATACTTCTTAGGAAAGAAAGAGAGAGGAATCATTTTTCGAACCATAAATTAATTTGAAATGCACTTTTAGAAATAAAAACCTCACCTTTCGTTTAAATTCCTTTTATAAAAATGCTAAGTATTTCTTGTATTTCAAAATAATAATGTCCATATATAATTTTTAGTGTTCAATTATTTCTAAAAACACAAGAATTTTGGGATTTTAACAATCACCTATTAGTTTTATAACGTTAATCATGCTTTAATGTTAAAATTAACATTATAATAATTTTACATTTCATTAATTAACATTTCCTTACTTAAAATTACGAAGGCACCATAGTTTTAAAATAGTTAATACGTTTTTATATCCATATATTTTCCCTTATTTAAATGGATGAGTTTTGACTTTATCGGAAATTATAAAGAATTAATTAATTTCCATGTTGGTCTGATATAATTTATTTGTTACGGATTTAAATCCTGAATTCATATTAAGAATGCATTTGTACAAATTAAATTTTACATGCATTTGTATTAATTATACAGGTATTTCATATATTATACAGGTATGAATTGTACATATATTTTTAAATTTAAATTCATTTATTTCCAAACTTTTTATACCTTTGTGATTTAATTTACCCTTAATAATTATTTTCAAACAAAATCTTTTTTTTCATTATTAAAAATTTCATTGTAGCTATCATATTTTCAGTTAAAATAAACAGTTTATTTTGAGTAAATACTTCAAATAGTAATTATTTTTTTAAATTTTAAAAAAATTTAAATAAAAAATAACAAATTAATTTTACATCAAAATAAATTAGCAATACTAAATTTAAATTGATACATACGAAACCAGTATTTATGTAAACCTTTAAAATGGTAAAAAAGATGCATATTAAACAAATATTTAATCTCTCCTTTTCAAAATAAATCAAATCGTCACCAGTCATAAATAGATGATGACCTTGATATGAATATAGATAGATGACCTTGATTTCAAGGAAAAATTAAATAATGGAATAATAGTTAATGAATAATAATAAACTCAATAATAGAACAATGGACAGGATAATTATATAAAAATAAAATTAATAATAAATTAGATAATAAAGTTTAATAAAATTAAAAGATAAAATTAATATCAGTAAGATATCCTTATGGTTTTTAGAAATACTTAACCTTAAGCTTAATAAAGTTAAACAAAAAATTAACAATGTATAAATATTTTGCTGAGATAAATATTAAAATATTTGAATTTCTTACCAATTGGTAAAAATATTATTAATAATTTAAAATTCATAATAACTGAAAACTTGAAATTGAATATATTTTTTTTTATTCATTAAAGCTTGTTAAATTTCATTTATAATTTTTTTCACTGTCTTCAGGAAGCCCCTACAATGTGTTAACCACGGGTGGCGTATCTTAATTTTAAGCATTTCAGCTCTATGGAAGTATTTCACTTATGAATTTCTTCCAACAATTGCAGAATCTATCGAGATATTCTATTATGAACAATATTTAACCAAAGAGAAAGTATAAGTTAATGTCTGTAAATATTGAAAAAATGTACTATGAAAACAAATATTTCATTGTGCTAATTTCCATTGTATATATTTCATTCATTTTTCTGCTTAAAAAAATCGAGAGAAAACTTTAATGAAAATAATTCAAAGTTTTAAAAATTCATCAAAAAAATTTTGTATGGTTCCAATCCTGATAAGTAAAATTTAACCTCAAAATATTTATTTTATAAAATTTTTATCGTTAATATTTTAATCCAAATCTTTGTAGTTCATTTTTTTTCCGTAACTAACTCGGGAATTTTTTTCTTCCCAATATAATCTACTACAGCAGATGCGGAGAAAATTCCCTTAAAGCCTTTCTTTATGGGAAGTATCACGTACTATTTAATCTCTTTGCTAAATGGATTAAAAAAATTAATCATTTCATGCGAAAGTCGAAAAGTCTAGTCTAGTTTCTTCAACTCAAGTTTCATGTTTTCATTGATGTGACGTTCAGAAAAAAATATTTATGAAAGTCTAACTACGTTTGATTGAAGGCAATAGAAATTTTTAAAAAAAAAAATCAATTATTCGCTTTAGACTACGATTCACAACTCTTTTTAAACATTTTACAAATCAATCACCACATCAGTGGGTTCAGCAATAGTCTCCGATTTAGAATGATTTAGTACTTCAATTTAGAACAAACTGTTTCAGAAATAGTATCAGCATCTGTTTTCTCATCTTCGTACAGATGGAAGAACTTACCAGCCTTACTGGTTTATCGTATTTATCCCCAGCATAAATCTAAATTTTCTGAATGATTCGTTAGCTAGGTTTCGAACTGAACATCCATTTTAGAATCCTAATGCATTAACTATCAGGCCTTAGTAAAGCAACATACAATTTAAAATTATTATTTAAAGTTGCATCTCTTAAAATTAACCTATTATAAATACACTGAATTCTATATGTACTCAATTAATTTTTCTTCAACTGAAAAATGCCTTTTAAAAACAAAGTCCAACAAAAAATTCGTCGTATATGTTCTTCTTCAGTGGCGCGACAAGTACATAGTGGACCAAGGCCTACTTGCCTATTTTCAGATTCCAAAACATGAGATGTTTTCTTTTTACAAGGTAGAACTATCAGCCTTAATATCTACAGTCAAAATAGACTGGAACCTACGATTTAAAGTATATTTCAAACCCCTACAAAATCCATGGCACCACCATGACTCGAACCCGAGACTTGTGTTACCGAGAACCAAAGCGCTAGTGACTCAGCAATCAGGTCTCCATCGTATATCAGCTCTAGATAATATTTTATGCTTTTCTAATAATATCATTGCCTTATAATTATTTCTACAATACTAGACAGTGGTGATTACTATAATAAAAAAACAATATTTTTAAAACTCAAATACTCTTTAAGATGTGACAAAAATTGCGTATGAATAAATCACTACATTCGTGAAAAATGTATGAAACGGTATGTACTGAAAAAGAAGGTTGGAAACCTCTTAGAAAACTTAAACGTTGGTTGCAAATTTTCAGACACTATGTTTGAAAGAATCTGGCGCTCGGTACCACAGGTTGCGGGTTCGAGTCCCAGCGGTACCATGGATATTTATAGTGGTTCGGAATCCACTTTAAAAAGTAGGTCCCGGTCTAATAGGATCGTAGAGCGTTGCGGGGGCATTATTACTCGCGTCCGTAGCTTATCTTCAAGTTACACGCGCCCCCTGGGTAATGCAAAGTGAGTACGTTTGTGCAGCGCTTGCCTTAAGGCATCCAAGACCAAGCTGTCTAAGTGTTTGCCAGCTGCATTGGAACAAAAAAAAAATGTTTGAAAGAATTCGATTTAAATAATAATAGTATTAAACACCGAAGTTGATTCGCAAACGTGGTAATCCTTTTTTTAAAGTGGTCAACGAGCTTTGTGAATCACGTTTCAAACAAATAGAAGTGAATTATGAAATCTTTTCAATCGTAATTTGACGCTGAGACGATTTGAGCCTCATGTGTGAATGTATTTCTTTGCTTAGCAAAAATTTTTTTGTTTTCTAATTTTTTTTTATGGTTTGCTGAATTGATCTCGGTAAAGATAAATAAAATCTAATCATACCAAAAATAAATTTTTTATCCAATCTTTTTTCTAGTCTAATATAATGAAAGTAATTTTAATTAAATTTCTTGTTTGTTAATTTAATTAATTTCCTCAATCATAAATTTTAGTATTGGGGATAGGACCTGATGGCCGATTGACTAACGCTAGGGGCCACAAGTTTCGGGTTCGAGTCTCAGAGGCGACATAGACGTTTGTAGTGGTTCGGAATCCAGTTTAAACTGTAGGTCCCGGTCTGATGTAACTGTAGAGCGTTGTAAGGTATACCAAATAAAAAGTATCTTAACCCCCATCCCCCACCCCTGTTCAGTTCCCCGTAAAACGTAACCTTATCCCATAAAAAGTCAGTGTCACTTAGCAAGTCAGACTTCTGCCTACGGGTGTTCCATCACGATAGAAACTGCCCTCCTCTTTTCCTCCTTCCATGAGACCACATGGGTTCTTGGAATTATGTTGCCGTCTACCAAGTGGGATAAGAAACAACAATAATAATATTGGGGATAATATAAATCCGTTATAGCACGCATGCTTAGGAAATGCATTTTTCTAACATACGCCATGCAAAAAGTTCTCTAATATGAAATCTATTAATGTTCATTTTAATTTAATTTTATGTTCTTTAAAATTATTTTGAAAAATATTGTAGGAGAAATGCTCTAAAATAATAAATACAACAAAATTAAGGTACTTTCATGACATTATACCAACATCTAACGTCATAATTGCTATAAATAAATTTATAACTTTATTTTAGTCTTATTTAATTGAAAATCAAAAAAAAAAAAGATCTTATACAATTTTTTTCTTCCATTCAAAAATTCTGTATTTCTTCACAAGCAGTTAAAATAAAATTGTTAATGCTTAATAGTAATTAAAAAATGCATTACACAAAAACAAAAATATGTTGTTGTTGTTTCTTATCCCACATGGCTGGCCAAGCCCACGAGCCCATATGGACTCACGATTGAAGGGGAAGGAAGCAGCTTCTGTTGTGATGGAGCACCCGTAGGTAGAAGTCTGACTTTGGCTCCGTGACGCCCTTACAGTCATAGGAGAGCGGGACCTACGGCTTAAAGTGGATTCCGAACCACTACAAACATCCATGGCACCGCCGGGATTCGAACCCGAAACCTGTGGCACCGAGAGCCAGAGCGCTAGACAGTCGACCATTCAGGTCCCAAATTTGCCAATGGCACGCGGTGTTCCCAGGGTCACCCACCCAAGTACTGACCACGCCCAATGATGCTTGACTTCGGTGATCTAACGAGAACCGGTATAGTCAGCATGGCACGGCAGTTGGCTCTAAAATATTCAAAATACATAATATTCAATATACAAAAATATTCAAAACAAAAAGACTTGTGTTGTTGCTTCTTATCCCACTTGGTAGACAGCAACATCTAGACCAAGTTCATGAACCCGTGTATTCTCATGAAAGGAGGGGAAAGGGGGCAGCTTTCGTTATAGTGGAGCATCCGTAGGTAGAAGTTTGATTTGGATCCGTGAAGCTGAAAGAGGGCAGTGCCTTCCGGGAGGACTTTTTTGGAGGAACTATCACTTATTTGCATATCGTACGGTATGAAACCCGGAAAACTCCCACCAGGTAGTCTGGCTCACGAGGCAAGATGCTGAACAACCCAAACGCCATCGTGTCTCCTTGCTTTTTGAAAAAGTACCTACAAGAAATCCGCCAGTGGATTGAACCTGCGCCCTAATGTTCACCAGCGGCCCGCATTGCCACTGAGCCATCAGTCGGGCTAAAAGACTTGTGGTATTGCATATTAGACTTAATATGACTTAATTAGACTTATTAATTAGACATATTGGACTTAATTAATGTTGATGACTTAATATGAGTAATGATTTATACAAGCTGTGTCGAACAATAGTTGAATTTGTAAAATAGATTATGTATAGAAAAACAAAAGCTGCTTCTGAATTTTTAATTTTTTAATTGTAAAATGTTTACGCCAAAATTATCTCGATTGCATAATGAACCAAGAAAATAATTAAAAAACATATATTTTAATAATTATTTTAGCTAAACCTCCAGTTGCATTTAATTCATCATTAAGAAAATTTTATAAACTGAATTATTGCCAGTACCTTTTGCACTGCAAATCAACTTTGGTTCTTACATTTTTAAAATGTCCAAATGAAAATGGGGTTTAAAATTCAACTAAGAATTTATAATAATTAATGAAATATATTTTAAAATATAGATAACATTTTTTGCATCTTTTGAAAACTTTTACTGCAGATTAACTTAAATTATTTGCCTATAAATGATTAACCCTTTCGTTTTTCCAGAATTTCTGATTTTTTTAATAATATTTAAAATTAATCAAAAAACTCATTTCAAAATTACTTTTAAATGCTTAGACTTTAGAAGAAAATTTTTATTACTTTATTAATAACTAGAAGTTAGTTCATATCTATCAAATAATTTTAGCTAAATCTCCAATTATATTTTATTCATATCAAAACATTCTTATAAAGGGAATTATTAGCATTACCTTTTTATATTAAAAATCAATTTTGATTTTTAAATCTTTTTTAAATTTTAAAATGAAACATTATTTAAAATAGAACCAAAATTTTTAACAATTAATTAAACCAATAAAATACATTTCAAATGTACACATAGGATCTGACTACATTTTTTGAAAACTTATAAATGCAGATTGATTTAAATGTATGCTATTTACAAATGTTTACGGCATTTATTTTTCTGAGATTGTTAATTTTAAATTTTATTAAAAATGATGGATTTTAGAAAAATGGATTTTAGAATTAATTTTTAAGTGCCCAAACTTAAGAAGAAATATTATTTAAAAACATAAATTATTTTCAATTTAAAAAGCTGTAAATATGAAATGACAATATTATTTTAAATTTAGATATCGATTAATTTAGTCAACGAGTTTAATATTTTCGAAATTAAATTTTTTTTTGTTAAACTTACACTCGTAAATTTAGTTTTAATTCTTAAGTTTTAGTTTTAAATGAACACTTTTATTCACAGTCATTTTTGATAATTTAAGAATTTAAGGAATGTTTTACATAAATGTAATATTTTACATAATTTACGAATATTGCATTAAAGAATTCTGCAATAGTAATATCATATTTTTAAAAAAAGCAATTTTAAAGTCAGTTTATTTTATGCATAATTCTGTAATCGTATTTAAAATTAAAGATTTATTTTTAACATTATTATTTCCGTTTTTTAAATAAAACAGTATTAAACATTTAACAAAACGTAATATTTGCAAAAACGTTGTAAAACGTTTTATATATTGTCTAAATTTTTAAATTTTGACTTAATGTAGTGTAAACAAATGTAATTTAATTTAAAAATAATGATATAACTTAAAGCATATTTAAACTAAATGTTCTGCAATGCTAATGTATAAACTAGCTGGTCTTGACGATTTAACTAAGTTTTCTGTAATAGCTATGTGATGTGTAATGTAATATAACAAGGTTTCTATAATACAGTATATTTTGTAATTTAATATCTTAACAATGTTTCTATAAAACTGTAAAACATTTATTCAAAAACTATTGTTAAACTATTAAATAAAACTTTATTAAATGTTCAACAAAACATAACATTTGAAAAAACATTGTTAAACGTTTAACCTAACATAACGTTTGATAAAATGTTGTTAAAAGTTTTATGTATTGTCCATATTTTTAACTTTTGTGTTAATATAGCATAAACAAATGTAATGTAATTGAAAAATCATGATATAACTTAAGAATAGGGCATTAGCATATTTAAATTAAACATTTTGCAAACTAATGTATAAACTAAATGGTTTTGATCTCTACACATCACATAGCACTACAGAAAATTTAGTTAAGTGATGTAATGTCTTAACTAAATTTTCTGTAATGTAATGTTTTAACGAAGTATTTTAGCATATTTATAAGTATCTTCTTTGAGGTGACTACAAATTGGGTAGAATGTTGAAAATCAGCCATTCTCTGCGTTAATCCTGAACCTGCTACATGCCTGCATTATCAGAGGCCAATTACCTCAAGTTAGATACCTGACAACCAAAAAAGAACAACATATATTTCCATGAAATTGGATTTAATTAAAAAGGAATGTTTGTTAATGATGAAATTTAAATTCAAGACATCAAAGTTGATTTTGAAGCATTTGTGTTTAATACGAATAACATATTATTTTTAATAGAAGTTAACTTTTTACAATGAATATTTTCGTTATAAATTCCTATTTTTCCAAAAAGGTTTTTAACTTTTTTTTTTTTATTTTGGAGATCTTTAATTTCTATCCAATAAAGTTAGAAAAGTTAATGTAAAACATATTTTCTTTCATAGTATATCTTTTTACTTAAAATAATCTTAATTAAAGATAAAACCTATTTTAACTTTTGAGAGAATGTAAACATATAACTGATATAGTTTTTTTTAGATTAGGAAAAAAAAAAAAATTGAATAAAATGCTTATATACCTATCTCTAAACAACTTTTTAAATGCTCTTAACTTTTTTTTTGCGTCTTATACTATTAAGATGGAAGTCCCAGACTATTTTCTCAGAATAATGTTTTTAAAATCATAAAATGAATATGAAGTAAATTGATTATATTAAAATCAAGTAACAAAAAACGTTATACTATAATGATCTTCTTCACTGGTGTAACGGTCCCACAGTGGGCCAAGGTCTTCTGTCTACTGACAGATTCCGAAATATGAGATGATTTTTTTTTTTTTTTACGGATTAAGATTGTCAGCCCTACACCCAAATCTCTACAGACATATTAGATCAGGTCCTACCACTTAAAGGGGCATTCGAACCACTGCAAACATCCATGGCACCGCCGGGACTCAACCCCGAAACCTGTGGTATCGAGCACCAGAGCGTTAGTCACTCGGCCATCAAGTTCTTATAAAATTACACTGACATAAAAATTAATTTAATAATTCAAAATAAAGTATTTACTTTTTCCTTAAAAATATATTTAATTAGACAGAGTTTTTAATTTATGATTATTATTAATCTGTTTAACTGAATCCAAGATCGCGAGAAAATTATGATCACTGAAAGACATATTCAAATTCGAAGTGCATACGAACTAAAACTCAATTTAAATGAAATTCATTATGAGGTTTGAAATTATGCAATTCATAGCATGTGTTACCAAGCACTAGTGACTCCGGCTGTCAATCCCATATACCATAACAATACAGCTGCTTTTTTCGAGGTTCATTATAAAATAAAAAATGTTTCAAATTGCATTATAAAAACTTGCCAATACGAGTAATGATACTCTTTATTTTAAATGGCAATTTAAGATAAACATATGATCTGTAAACGATATGGTAAATTCTCCAAAGCAGTGATTCTTAAACTTTTTCGTGCCCTTGACCCCTTATTCCAGGACGATGAAGGCCTCAGATCCCCTTCTCAGAACAATTTCAAATGCATAAAAAAATTTAAGCAAATCAGTTATAATAATAAAAAAATCTGAATTGAAATTAATAAATGAAAACAAAAATAATAATAAAGATGCGTTTTTGAGGTCCAATATGAAGTACAATATGTTCAAATTGTGTTGTTAAAAATCTGCCAATGCGAATCATGATATCGTTTATCTTAAATGAGGTTATATTTTTCAAAAATCTATTTATTGGTATTCACAGACCCAGAGAAGTTATATTATAAGTTACTGCATAGAGTGATATGATAATTGTTATGTTTAGTTGAAATAAAGATAAGGATTTTTTTTTTCTTTTCCCAACTTTTTCTTTCTTTTTATTGGTAATCACAGGCACAAAGCCATACTATAAGTTATACTATAAGTAAGTTAAGTTATAAAGTTACACTGCATAAGTTATACTATAAGTTGCTGCGTCATATGATAAATGCTACGTTTAGTTAAAAATTAGTTGAAATAAAGATAATGATTCTCTTTCTTTCCCCCTCCCTTCCTCTTAATAAGAATTATTATTCAAAGCAGTGATTGTTAAACTGTTTTGGGTTCGCAATCATTTTTCAAATTTAAAACTTTTCAACGGTCCAAAAAATCCATGCTCAAAAAAAATAAATAAATAAATAAATGAAAACTATATTATATGAAGTCATATAATATAGTTTTCATCAGTCAGTATATTATATTTTATTATACAAATGTATTAAATTAATTTTGAAAAATATATGTAAATAATCATTAAAATTAAAAATTGAATAAAATCCTCTATAGTACTTATAACATTGTAAAAAATAACAATGTTAATAACAAATTATCAAAAAGGGTGA